TTCTAAGTCGAACAAGTTTTTGATAGCGGACCATTTTTGGACACAGAACCATCGATTACTCCAAATTGATTTTTTAACAGTTCCAATTTTGTTATTATGGTCACTTTAACATTTACCGCTGATTTTCCATATTATATTTTATATATTTTCTGATGCCAAGCATCAAAAGCAATGTGTAGAAGGACAGTTGAATCGGTTTCATGTAATCGATTCGCCGCATGCGTCAGTCGCGGACTAGTTGCCTCACTACTGCAGTTCTAGCATACTTCAAACAGCTCGATCGATATGCTATCATTGTTTCAAGCACGATAATGAATAATGGTGACAAATAAGTTGTCTTCGAGCTCCTAAAAGAGAGTGAAAGGGTAAAAAAAACTCCGATTCCCAGTGAATAGAGCAACTCTTGTAGAGCCTTAATCATGAATTTTCGTGAAAATGAAGTAGGAATTCAAAAAAAAAAAAATTCGGAATTTATTACATTACTGCATTACTTCTTACAGCTCTTAGTGTTCATAGTACCATTACATACCGAATTTCAGGAAAAACCACTACATGCGTTCAAACGAAGCCGTCGACTTGCCCTCAGAGTGATATTTTGTGTTTGGTCAGCACCCTTTCTGATATGGCCTCCTGTCTATATAATGGTAGCAAAACATAGTCAAACTACTATGGCCCATGGAAATGAAATCATTTGCGCTACGGGTTACAACAATACGATGCTCATATTTATTACGTCATTACTAGTATTCTATATCCCTTCAATATTACTGGTACGTGCTGAAATTTAAACTTTTTGGCGTTTTTGAAGTTTTGCAGAATCGAAAATTCTGCAGAATATCTGATGTTTGTTTTTGAAGCAGCAAAAATTTCAGATTGCGATGTTCGCTCGGATCTCCATGGTTGTTCATAAACACTTTGGATTTTTGCGAAAGCATTCCAATAATCCTGGATATACGCAATCACCATTTCTTGTTCGAAAAGCCTCTTCAGCACAAACCTTGAACAATCCCCGGAAGGAATCACAAATTTCAGGCAAGTTCCAGTGTTTTGGTGGAAGCGACTGAAGTGGGAGCGCTGAGAGCTTTCCTTACTATTAGGTTGAGTAAAAAGTTTTGATCGGCTTTTCAATCTTCACTTTAAAAAGTTTTATTTCCATTGAAAGAGGATCTCAATTAGTAATATAGTCTGCATCGTTGTCCTAAACATACATCTAACGAACCGGCAATTTCTTGACTCCTGAAGCCTAAAAGGATGTCGGCCACGATTCGAAAAAGCTGGAGATCTCTTCTTTGAGCTCCGGGCAGTCATCAAAATTTCTATCGCGGAGGTGATGTTTCAGAGCAAGAAACAAATGGTAATCAGACGGAGCGAGACCTCGCGAATAAGTAGAATGGGTTAGCACTGCCCATCTAAGTTCGGCAATTTTCTGACAAAATAATTTCGCAACATGCGGTTGAGCGCTGTCGTGAGAAAGGCAAACATATTCACGCTGCGGACGTTTCCTTCGAACAACGTCGGCCAAACTCTGTAGCTGAAAAGCGTAAATCTCGGCGGTCACAGTGGAGCCCTCAGTAAGTTATCCAATGTAGAGCGTTCCCTGAGAATGTCCACCGACGACACAGTAAAACCGTCCTCGGACATAGTCTACTTCTCTGTTAGTCTTGGAGGTGCTTCGTCATGAGGCACCCGTGGGCTGAGATACGATGATCCTTCTGGATGCACCATAGATATTTGCGACAGCCGTCGGTGGATTATGCCCTTACAGTAATTCGTGATAGACGATAGCTCTCAGACAGCTTCGGACGCCAGTTGGAGGTTGAAGTCATTTTTGCGAAGCACTTCCAAGGGGATGCTTATATATCCTTTTAAAAACACAGGTTAGGGATCGGTCTGCCATAACCCATTACGAAGTCCTTCCGAGCGGTCCTACGAAAAAAGGGACGAAGGTCGATCAAAACTTTTTACTCAACCTAATAGTAACGGGAGTTGTCTGAGTACTGAGTCCGCTGCTTCTTCATTAGTTTAGTTGAGCGTCACCCGCACTTAGTACGACTACTCATCAATGCAAAATGATATCGAGCTCAATATAGCCAGCCACCCGCCGCTACTTTGTAATTCGTTCAGAGTAGTCAATGACTTTGGATAGACAGACAGCATAGCAAGCGTTTTATTTCAGGCATTCGGGGAATGAACTTCCTTCATGGCATTCGTTTTTTAGAGTTCTAATTTTGGCATCATGCCAACTAATAAAAGCAATAAGTCAAGATGATCGTAATATGACAGGGGAAAGAATACTAATTGAAGACTGAGGGGTTTCGAGCAGTTATGAGGCTCAGTCAGCAGGAAGAAAGCCCGTTTCAAAGAATCCGAACATCCTTCTTACCTGAGTATCTGTTGAGTTTCTTACAGCCGTTTGAATGCCTACGGTAGGCATCGAAACTTTATCAGCAATTCTGTTAAAAACATCAGTTGAAAGCCTGGATTCTCGCAATTTTGGCAAGTTGTGGGCAAAACTTCGGCGTCGAATAGGATTCGAACTTGTGCGTATGAACACTGTCCTCTTATTCCTCACGCTACCAAGACCTTGGATTCTGACCCTTGGCGTTTGGAGTAAGTATAAAATTTGTACTTTCCGCAAAACATTACAATTTTTGTTTTACTATAATTTTAGTAAGGTTTCCATAATCCAGTGGTAGTTGGCACAGCCAAGCCTTCCATCGGTCAACCGTTTAATTGGGTAGGGTCGGCTAATTGGTACTAAACTATCTGAGAGGATAAAAGCACTGAGTTGTACATCGGCTGGCCATCGCAAGTCATTGGACCACACACGCATCCTATATGTCACTACGATTCTGAATTGAAGTCGAATGCCGTGGCGCATTCCTCACACGGGATTAATCAATCTCGAAAGAGTTAATCCTTCATCGTTCAATTTCGGTTTTCCATAATTTTAGGATGAGATTATGATTCTAATTTCCGTACTTATTATACTATAAACTAGTTCGAGCACACCTTGGGTTTTGATCTACTCCTCCCCCAAAAAAAACTTGTGTGTAACAACACCTTTTCAAAATTTGTTTTTCAGAAGGAGGTGGTCTTAAAGTTCGACCACTTCAGTACCTGGAAGTAAATTGTGAGGAACGACGGCATTTGTGCGAGAAAACTCATCGAGGTTACAGTGACACTGAAGAACAGGGAACTCCATGTCGGAAATCCAGCAAGGTCAGTGAATTAAAGTTTGAAAAAGGATTTATCTCCACATCATTTACAATATAAATACTAAGGTGTACGGACCAGAGCCTCTCACGATTTCTTTCGTTTCCATTCAGATTCAGAGCGAATTCAATTTTTTAAAGGTTAGCCTCAAACTTGTAGGAATCCTTACGGGAAACTGACTTCTACGAAGTTATGGTGACTGATATCGATTGACATGATTAAGGGAGAAGTCTGATTGATAGTCCCAGGGGGAACCTTTCGTCTACATGGTCCATATGACTTATATTAGGTTCCACCATGACCGAAACGGTCAGAATGGTGAGTGAAGCTAGGGAAACAAAGGCTCCACCTACGACCTAAATAAGGTCCCTTCGAAATGATAACCATATACATAGTACATTCGTCCGCTGCTGCTTGAAGAGAGCGAATCACTTGGTGAAAAATAATGAAGGGCTGGTGATGTTTAAACATGCCCCCCCCCCCCCCATGTTCTGGCCTATGCCATAAATTTACAGAAGTACATTACTATGTTTGCTTCCGATGTAGTGCAGAGTAGGTCATTATTCAAACTTGTAATATTGAATTTTACTGTTGCAGATTTCAAGAAGATCTTCTCGAATGGGAACGCCTTTTTCTCGGCACAGTTCACTACGATATTCGATCACTGCGTTTCCAAACCATCTCAAAGAACTTCTACAAAAAGAAACTGTCACTCGGCAGGTATGTTCTCCTGTTTTGTTCGCTGTTCCAAAAACCTCATGAATCCCTACTATCCTTACTACTAGTCAAATATAAGTTATCGTTGTCATAGGTGTGGGGGAAGGTGGTGTAGTGGCAGAAGGCGCGCTATCACCTACACAGTCACGTTCTCGAATATCAACCAAGCCAACCATACCTTTGGGTCGATTAATTGGGATAACACTCGTGTGAGAGTATAAAAGCACTGATTTGTACATCGGCTGGCTACTGTAAGTGATCTTCTGATCAACATTGGAACTTGACCTTCGGACCTTGAGGCTGAGATAAAGCTCTTCTTGCCACTGCACCACACCAGCATAGGCTTTATGACGATATTTTATAATACAGTGCTTACTAAAAAAAGGTGGTGTTACTGCTACTACTTTATAAGTCGTTGTTACAGATTCGTGCAGCGAGAGCTGTATCATTGATCCTGTCCTGTTTTCTTCTGTGTTGGCTGCCGTTTCTGGTTATGTGGCCTGTGAAGCTTTACTGTAGGTCAGTGATGTCCATGTATTTATTGATTTTGGAACATTGATCGGATTCAAAGCACTCAATAGAATCTTGGAAAGGGCCTGTTCGTGGCGCTTCACATTTCGAACTCTAGAAACTGGCCATCCTTACGCTTAAAGGCACAGTTCGCGATAATTCAATGGGCGGGTATGTCAATGACGTGTCCGCCTCTCATTCGATGTCACGTCAGACTGTCTGACGTGACGTCGAATGAGAGCCGGACACGTCATTGACATACCCGCCCATTGAATTATCGCGAACTGTGCCTTAAAATAATATTCACCTGCTTCATCACCTGAGTTACGAGCAGGTTAATGGTGTCACTTCTGTCACAACTAAGCAGTTTTCCTCTGTAGTCTATTAAAATTTTTTGTGCTCTGAAATTCAAATCTCCTTTATGTGCTAAAGTACATAGATAGAATAAGTAAATTCAAAAGTAACAAAATGAAGATCAACAAGATAAGTTTACATAAAAGTCCAGAGATAAATTTCTCATTACAAATATAAATAGAGCGGCTGCATATAAAAGTGAATTAAATGATTTCGAAGTTTGCAAAGTTTAAAATTACCGACATGCTAATGCCACAGGCATTCTAAAAATAGTTTTTTTTGCAAAAATTCTTTTATGTGCTAATTAGGGGAGGCTCCGTTTCGTACTTTACTTGTTCATAATTGAGTAAGGTCGACTAAACTAATAAGCATACTGTACTTATCTTTAAAATCTCACGTACGCACAAATTTCACCATTCAATTAGTAATTACACGGCCTTCCTGAAAAAACCGTGGGAATCTCGACATGTTACAGTACTCTTGCTGATCCCACAAAGAAAACTCTGTTTCAGGAACTGCATATCAGACTGGGTTTACACTGTTGCGGTGTTTCTCAACTATTTTTGCTCAGCTCTTAACCCACTGCTGTACGCCTTGTCCAGTCCACGTATAAGGGTTTTAATAACGACCAAACTCACAATGCTCGGCTGTTCCACGTCAAGACGGTCTGGAACTTTTGATCTCTAGTATACTGTGTAGTTTTTTTTTCACTTGTATAGGTAATTTTATCTTTAGTTGTTTATAATTGTACAGGTGCACATCCAGGGTGACACAAGATTTCGAGGTAGCGCTCCGTTTAGAGTATCGAATTCTCTGATCTCTGTATTGATCGATTTTGAGACGACTGCTTTTAAGCATGTTTTTCGAAAACGTTATTATTGTTGAATCTCTTTTCAAATTTCATATTGATTGCGAGTAAACTTTTCAGAATAATGGATTTCTTGTGAACCTATTGCAGGTTGATTTTGCCGTACTTGTTGTACAGGTCATATTATCGAAATCGATTGAAGAATGCGAAAAAATCCAGTAGTAAATAATGATTTCTAATGATATTTTGGAAATGAATTCGACTTTATAAGGAGCTCAAAATAACCATATTGCGGACTTCCTCAACTCTGCTTCGGGTCCCTTTCATTTCATACATGCTCCTAGGAGTTTTCGAGAGCTTATCAGTTCTATTAGGTTGAGTAAGAAATTTTGATCGACTCTCCGTCGCTTTATAGGTTTTTTCGAAGGACCGCCCGGAAGGACATCGTAATGGGTTATGGTAGACCGATTCCTAACCTGTATTTTTAGCGGGATATATAGGCACTCCCTTGTAAGAGTTTCGCAAATATGACTTCAACCTTCGACTGCCGTCCGAAGCTGTCTCAGAGCTATCGTCTAGCACGAATTACTGTAAGGGCATAATCCACCGAACGGCTGTCGCAAATATCTGTGGTGCATCCAGAAGAATCATCGCATCTCAGCCCACGGATGCCTCATGACGAAACACCTTCAAGACTAGAGGAGAAGGGGAATGGTGTGTTAGGAACGAAATGGTCGCGTCGCGGTGAGAGCGGCGTCGTGCGCGAAGGAATGTAGCAGGTTGCAGCAGTGGGTAAAAAGTACAAGAACAAAAGTACTAATAGTAGAATTATGCATAAAATAATGATCGCATATCGATTGAGTTGTATGAAGAACGCTAGAGCTGTACTAACGGCGAATGAGTGGTCCGCGACAGCCGCGTGCGGCAAATCGATTACCCAAAATCGTTCCTAACGCCCGTCTCCCGAGGAGAAGTGGACTATGACCGAGGAAGGTTTTACTGTGTCGTCGGTGGACGTTCTCAGGGGGTGCTCTACTTTGGATAACTTTTTGAGGGTTCCACCGTGACCTTCGGGATTTACGCTTCTTAGCTACAGAGTTTGGCCGACGTTGTTCGAAGGAAGCGTCCGCAGCGTGAAAATGTTCGCCTGTTTCATGACAGCGCTCAACCGCATGTTGCGAAATTGTTTTGTCAGTAAATTGCTGAACTTGGATGGGCAGTGCTGCCCCATTCCACTTATTCGCCATGTCTCACTCCATCTGATTACCATTCGTTTCTTGCTCTGAAGCATCAGCTTCGCGAAAGAGATTTTGGATGATTGCTCGGAGCTCAAAAATGAGATCTCCAGTTTTTTTGAATCGGGGCCTCCACCGTTCTGGGACTTCTGGAGTCAAGAAACTGCCGGATCGCTAGACGTATGTTGAGGACAGCGATGGAGACTGTATTACTGATTGAGATCCTCTTTCAATGGAAATAAGACTTTTTAAAGTGAAAATTGAAAAGCCGATCAAAACTTTTCTCTCAACCTAATATTTGTCGTTACGCCCCGAATTCGCCCTCTACTTATAATGGGGTGTGGTGCGTTACGAACGAAATGGTCGCGTCGCGGTGAGAGGGGCGTCGCGCGCGAAGGAATGTAGCAGGATGCAGCAGTAGGTAAGAAATACAAGAACAAAAGTACCAATAGTAGAATTATGCATAAAATAATGATCGCATATCAATTGAGCTGTATGAAGAATGCTAGAGCTGTAATAAGGGCGAATGAGTGGTCTGCGACAGCCGCGTGCGGCGAATCGACTACCCAAAATCGTCCCTAACGCCCGTCTACCCTTATAATGGCAGTAGCTTTTTGTATGCGACATGGCTTGCACAATAAGTTCCTTCGGCTCGATCCCAGGCCAAATGTGTGACAGTACGCCCGCCATCTGGCACTGTCCATGACCTCTTATCCAGATCATTTAAAGTTTTGTTCTATCAAGTTATATGGAAACAATTCATTTCCGAAAACGATCTAGAGCCCCTGGCTCCGTCTTTTCCCCCATCTACAAATCCTCAGTAAATATTTCTTCGAAAAAGCAAATAAGAGAATGACTGATTGAGGAAGTCCGACGCTCAAGAATCTATCCTCTTCTTAGGTTTGACTACATTTGAACGCTGCAATTTTGGGGCATCTAACTTGCAATTGTTCTCTGAACTCTCTTAACAATTCATGGAACAATAATTTCTCGACTGAATTTTCTCGGAGACAGCGCTCATGAAAAATTGCATTCCTCGGACAGATTGTAGACAGATAGGTGTCATTAGATGTAATTTCTAGGCAAAACTTGCAGTTAGCAAACCCGACTGAGGAATTTTCCATTCTGTGCTTCCTTTTGCTTGATCGAAGCAACAGCAGACAACTGCTCTCGCTAACAGACATTCCTAGAGCCGTTGAAAATCTCCATACGAGGGGCCTTCGATCCGCTCTGACAAGGCAAGTGCTGCTCTTCTTCACTGCTTTCGCCGTCGATGGGGCCATCGGTATTGATTGATTCTAAGGAATGCGCCCTGGATTGGTCTATAGTTGGATCTTCAGAAACGTTTTGAGGGCAGATAGTGTTGTTTGAGTAACCTGAGAAAACCTACTGGTTATCGTATCGGTGTTAACACCTTAAAAGCTGATAAAAGCCTTCTCCTACCGTGTGCTGGTAAAAGCTCGGCTAAATTAAAGGCAAATTTCGCGGCAGCGCTGTGGTATCTAGCTTTGAAGAAATAATAAATTTTATGGTGCAAAAAGTGCGAAAATGGCGAAAAAAGTAGAAAACCAGGAGGATTCTAAGAAATATGCGGCTTCAAAGAAGTATCAAGAATTGGAGTAGTACGAGATTACGTATCTATAACCGACTGGGTGTCTCCCAAGTGAGCCTACTGTTTCTCTGTGTCCTAACGCTTTATCGTGAATAGTGCAGCTCTAACAAGGCCGTCATAACACGGCCACTTTTGCGCGTGTACGTCTGCCAAGCCTGATTCGGGGTCCCTATAACGCCCCATCGAGGTGATTTTCGATCTGACTATGTCCCACTTGCTCTCCATGGAGGCCACAGCTTCATCCTAGAAGGAAATTCTAGAAAGCTTTTTTATCGTGAACTACCCCGAAGTGGATTCCAGGGAGCATGCGGTGGAAGTGACACCCTTGAGGTAATTTCTCTTTCTTCCACAAACACATTTCACTCCTCTATTAGGAAGTATGATCTCGAACTCGTACATGATAGGGCGGTTCTGCAGCATGAACACATAGCGAAATTTTACATATTAATGTAAAAAATTTATAGATAAAAAGTAATAAACTAATCTAATTGTTCAATCAGACACTCCCGTATAACGAGTACAAAACAGACACATGAGATCACCTAAACGTCTTTGGTCTTCATAACCGTGGCCGGTCGAGGAGATTTTCCATATCCTGTTATGGGGCGCACTCCTTCGCGGATTTCCATGTCCTAATACAATCAATTTGATTAGCGGATTCAGAAAATTTCTGAAGACTCTTACCTTCAATCGTCGCTTCAGCACAACTTTCCTTTCCTCTATGACCCTCTTTGCTTTCTCTTCTTTAGCTAGTAGCACCTCCTCCGGTGTCTTGCCATCCTGAAGCAGGACACTTTATAGATAAGAAAACTCTTCTTATCTGCCTGCTACCTTTTACTTTTGCCAAGACTTGAATCAACACTCAAAGCCACGGTCCAATTAAAAATCGCTTCTAAGTTTACTCCCTACCCTAGGATGAACCAGTTAGCGTAAGACACTGTCGGGTCAAAAAATAGTCAGATAGGGTGTATTAAGGGCATTCAGTGCTTTCATGAGGGGCTCAGAGCCCAGAAGGCGGTTGCCCGCCTCCCGCTCGTTTGACGTCCTGCATGGACCACTTGGTGACCGCTCTGGTAGGAGTCCTGAAAAGATTGCCCTACCAGGCCCACCTCACATTCGACTGTTTGGTCAACCAGCTAATTCTTGGTCCTTAACCGCGAAAAAAAACGTTCGAACTCTGAACTGTTTATGCTGCTAAGGCTAGTGATCACTGTTTTTCTCTCTCCTGAAGAGAGGCTTTGTTTTGTCCCCTCGATTTAGCGCCCGATTACACGGCCAATTAATAGATTAGGGGGGCCCAACAGCATTTCTATCACAGTTACAGAGAGACAAGTGAAAAAGAAAACTAACTATTAAAACTCACACTTGGGAATTTGTTCACCACAAAACTGCGGACTTTCTTGTTTGTGCCCGTTGGACGGGAATACTCAAGAAGATACATTAGACGATCCTTAGGAGCCAAGGAAAGCTCCAACATGAGAATGACTTGAGCCCACTACAATGAAACGATTGAGGAATAAATTAACAGAATTTGGGCAGCAGCTCATGATTTTCGATGTGGAGGTGATAGAATAGAAGTTGAAGTGTGTGTAGGCTCAAGTGCCAACTGCTAAACGAGGGGAGATGGGCGTTAGGAACGATTTTGGGTAATCGATTTGCCGCACGCGGCTGTCGCTGACCACTCATTCGCCGTTATTACAGCTCTCGCGTTCTTCATACAGCTCAATCGATATGCGATTATTATTTTATCCATAATTCTACTATTAGTACTTTTGTTTTTGTATTTCTTACCTACTGCTGCATCCTGCTACATTTCTTTGCGCGCGACGCCCCTCTCACCGCGACGCGACCATTTCGTTCCTAACGCACCACACCCCTAAACGAGCGTTCCTTGCCTAAAAGGTGTTGCCACCCATCGAATTGTTGTCTGTCTTTTTGGTTGCAGAAAGTATAGATCATCAATAAATTTAGTTTATTTGAAAAAATTCTACACAAATTCTATAAATGGCCCCTTGAATAATCAAAATTCGCAGAATTAATGAGAACATGCGGTGCGACAGCAATCACTCATAACCCGATAAAATGAGTTTGTCAAAGAAAAATTCATAAACCTCCCTGTTTCCTCTTACTGTTATACTTTTGTTGTAAACTAAATTGAACAATCATTGCAAACCTGTCGTTTATACTCCTTCCTTGTACGGTAAATAGTTTCATAGGTCCTTGTCATCATGGCGATAAGCAGATTGAACTGTAGAATCGATACTCCAAGCTCGAAGATCAGGAAAAGAGCCTATAAAAATTACTTAATGAGAAACTGGTAACATATTACTCCTTTCCTTGCGAGATGCTGTAGATAGATTGAAATTGGAGCGGCTGTCAAGAACAATGGACTATGCAGTGGCTACTCTGCTTAATTATTCACCAATCCTTTCCATTGTGAAGCGAGTTTCGAAGTTCACCTACACCCAGAAAACGTCCCCAGTCAGGCAGTGGTTACATTGTAGTAGAGAGAAGGTGCTGCAAGGTGGTAGGTGAAGTCTGAACAGCCACTTACCTGTTAAAGGGGATAACAGTGCACGGCACACGATTCTACTGTGGAATTAACTTCTCGTGCCCTTCCCACCGTTTTACTGTACTCCCAGCCCCTAGCTTGAAAGGCACTTGATGATCCTAGGTAACTCAGAAACAACCGTAATCAAACCCTGTAACACCTGTCGTCTCGCTGATTTCCGACTTCCTCGAGCGGGCGACAGTAAAGTTCGCCCATTCGTCCCTGCCACGAGCCAGAAAGGTCCAATGAATCGTCCTCGCTTCAGGGACACGAGGCTCAGCACTCCTTACGTTCAGAGCTTTCGGGAGAAAAGACTGACTGTCACGCTGTCGGTCTGGTGTTCATTTGACGACCCGAGGGATCCATTGGCTGCTTTCATAGTCCGCCGGCCGGCCAGCCAGCGTGCGAGCCGAGGCAGTGCTAGGGGGGAGGAGGGAGGCAGACGGTCAGTCGAGGGGTTGTAAACAAAGAAGAACAAAATCAAAGACCAAACAACTAAGGGCTTGAACAAATGGTCTTTGATCTTGTCTCTCGTTGTTTACAGCCCTTCGAAGGGGCTGGCCGACTGTCTGCCTCCCTCCTCCCCTCTAGCACTGCCTCGGCTCGCACGCCGGCCGGCCGGCACGCCGGCGGACTATGAAAGCAGCCATTCAGTAACCGCCCTAGTCCAACGGTCAGCACAATGTCGCCCAGAGTGTCCGGCCCACTTGATCATCGATTCCTTGGTGTAAGCAACGACTTCCCTAATCTTGACGGAACTCGGTACTTTGGAATGCCTTCGGCACTTCCGCGATAAGAGAGATTCGTCTCTTTTAAAGCGCGTTGAATGACGCTAACTGCATGTTCAACATACTTTCGTACACCTCAAGTCTTCGACACCCCTGGGAAACCCAACAACTAATAGCTCTTCCAACAAGTTTCTCCCAATGCCATAGTTATGTTTATCTTGACAGATGGGATCTTAGTACCTGGATATCTACATTACACTTACGCTCTTTATCTAATGCTACAACTTCTTCCACGATGAGGAACTAACTTAGTCCCTATCTGGAAGATTTTCCCGATTGGGCTTCAGAAAGTGAGTCTTATTTACCTTTCCTATCCAGATCATAATCTTTGCTGGACACATAGCCAAATTCCTGTAGAGTACGGTAAATTCTCCAATGGTAAGGATAAAGGTTCGGATGAATGCTTCCCATGGATTCTGTATTACGTTTTGGAATCGATCCGGACTAGAAGAATTGTAATGCTGCAAATTCTCGGCACGTTCACAGCTCAAAAATACCAAATAGAATGCTGTAATAGTAGTGGTTTGGCGTGGTTTACAAAGAAAAACTAAAATTGCCTAAAGATTGATTACCCTGTGAGAATCCAATTAGGAAAATACCATATATCATTAAAAAACGTCGAATATCTGTTGCAATAATGGTGTACACCATGAGTACGAAGGGTCCAACAAATTTTATGGCCCTGGAAAAATTGATAATTATGTGCAGTATCTGCTACGCCTTATGTTGCTCTACCACTTAAGACAGCACTATCATCCCTAAATTGAATATCGGTTGCAAGCGCGCAAAATCAATATCTATTTCAAAGCGCTCATGAAGCGCGTCGCAATGTGTAAAGTCTCAAAAGATGGCTCAAAAGAGGTAGCGGTTCTTGTCATTTTGAAATTCTTCAGAGAAGAGCTTTGCACCTTCCTCGTAGGTGGCGAAGAAGTAAAATTAAATAAATTGGGAAGCGAGTAGGCAGAGTTACATATACTGGGTGCGCGTGCGCTAATATGTATGTAGGCCATAGTTTAGCGTCGCCCCTATTTGGGAGCTAAATCATGCACGGTTCACTTTTAAATCATGTATGGCATTGCAAACCGGCAAAGTGACCCCTTCCCCTCACTCAACTGCTTCCCCGAATTCTCCCTAGGCACCAACACGAGCACGACTACCAGGCAGGGTCTATAGTAGCATTTCCCCACTCAATCTGAGCGACAAGTACGTGAACGAATCTAAGAGTTCCACATCCCCACCCCCTCTCCCCATAGGTGTATAACATTTCTAGTTCAGGGCTATATGCAAGGTTGACATGGGATGGTCAAATGTAAGCAATCACCAATTACCCTGAAATCCCATAGATAAGAGCGGTATAATTTACCGGTGAAAAATGAATTGGAATGAAATTGAAATTGAATGCAGTCACCCCTC